CTGGTGAGTGTTTTTCGTCTACATGTAGCTGACAATGACTACAGTTGTAATCGAAAGCTCCTGTTTTAAATGAAAATTTTAAAATAATGATTGTTAAACTCATAACATTAATCTTTTCATTTATAACATTATTATCAACAAACAATGTGGGAATAAAGATTATCGCGTGGAGAAGGTCTCCAGAAAATAACTGCATCATGTTTTCGAAGAAAGCTCTGTTAATCATCAAGTTCTAAAAAGTATTGCACCAAATAAATGCAAAATGAATGTTGAACTATGACTTTTTTTGTAGCGCTTCTGCCGCAAGGGATTATTCTTGCATCAATTCGCATACTTTACATGAATAAAACGCTCATGTCAACACAAAACAAGCTAATAAATCATTAATTAAATCATATTAGTTAGATTAAACAAGAATAAAGAAGAGTTTAAATAAAAATAAAATGAAAATCGGCTTCATCAGAAATTAAGGACTGAGCGTATTCTTCTTGCCAGTTTCTCTAAAAATTGTCGACTTCTTGCCATGAATAAAAAGTGGTTTCGATAATTTTTCACACCTCATTTCTCGTACTTTTCTGCAATACATTGTGAAGTTCTTAAAGTTGATTTCTTTCGTTTATTTTTTATCGTCATTTTTTCCGAATAAGATTTCCTGCTGTATTGCATGCTCACATTTTTTCGTTCGAATCGCGATTGATACGACATTTACGAACAGAAACACAAACAAATAAATCAGTATTACACCTATATCAACACCGAATCGGGAATAAGATCCAAAGAGTAAATGTCGCGCACCATTGACCGAGTGATACAATGGTAGACCGTATCCGTAGCGGAAAAATCGTGGCGATAATTCCAGTGGTATTTGTATTGTGGCTCCGGACAACATGAAAATAAAGGAAGCAACAAGAATAACGGGACCAAGTGCACCGAAATTAGTGGTAAACAGAGCCACAAAAACACCCAACAGCAATGCCGATAACCAGTTGAACATCCAATAACGGAAGAAGAGAATATGACTTCGAATATGGAAATACCAGAGCACAATCAGAGAATAAATGAGTGAAACAAGTAGTGCTTGAAAAACCCCGTTTAATATACGGTAGGTACCCAGCTCCCAGACAGTGATTTTACCAATCAGCGGGTTGAAAAGACCGAAAGCCGCACCTACAGTCATCGCTGATACCAGATACAAATAAATGTACCCAAGAGTAGTTGCCAATTGTCCGATAAACGGTTGAGCTGGATGAAAATTCATTTGAGAATAATTCAATGGGTTCGATAACAGGGGTAAGAGATAAGAGGTTAGATAGATCAGTGAACTGTTGAGAATGATAGCGTTGTCGTTTGCGGATAATATTCGTTGAATTAATGTCGATCTCAAGTATTGTCCATATCTTTGACTGGCAACCATAATGGCTGTGCGTATCGCCGGTAACATGTAATTGTTAATGCCAGTCGGATTTCGACCTTCTTCGTAAAATATCTGAATGGGCGTAAAGACACCTGAAAAACGAGAATACTTTTAAGAAAACTGACCATTGACGAAAAGTGCTAATTCAATAAACAAGGATCTTAATTCAATTTCAAGAATTATTAATTGAAACTTCTCCGGCAAATCTTCACAAAGGACATTATTTAAGATCACAATAATTTAGACACAGGATTCATTAAAAGATCACACTTCTTTCAACCCCCATTTCTTAGAACTGCGCACCAATCTTTGAAGTCTCAAATAGCAAATGTGAACAGTTTGGTTCTGATCTTGTTTCCGTTAATCGGCAGCCATTGATTCTGTAGGAATACGTCTCTTTTGAAAGATTATCCACTCTCCTGATGTCGAACGGAAGGATTCCTACTCGTCAGAAGGAAACTAATTCCTGTAAAGATTTGATAACAACGGAACCATAACAGCGTTTGCCTAATCGTATGTTGGGAACAGCTCTCTAACAGTTGAAGATTTTACGATGAAGTTTTTCTACTTTGACGTGCTCTTCGTAGAAAGTAGTTCTAACACGTTCTTTTCCTAACTTTCAGCGTTGTACGGAAAAATCCTGGCTCCTCAACGTTTATAGGTCGCAAAGCTTACAAAGACTGGGTAAACGAAAACAGATATTCGATTGATTTTTACCGAGCCTTTAGCGCAGAGAACTTTCAAAGGTTTCGTACGGAACTGTTTTTCGTGCACCAAACCTTTTTAAGATTGTCTACAATATCCCAAATCTAGAAAAAGTTCGACCCTAGGAATAAAAACGATCTAAATATACTGTCACATCCTTGTCACGATCGGGTATTTTTCATCCTTTATCGCTGTAAGGTGCACAAAATCCAGTTTCTCTTAGTGTGCCTGAGGCCTAGAATTATCACAATGAATAATGCTGAACACATGCTTGGTGTAAAAACTGCTGCTCGTTTTGTCCCATTCACAAGTTGCTCCAATGTTTGATTAATCCGTTGGGTTGTACCCTGCTGAATGAAGACCGATGCCCACACTTTGCCCTTACTAACTTCCATTCGTGTATTGTTTGGATCAAAACTAAAATCGGATGGCGCCCGGTAATGCCAATGAAGTGTCAGACTTCCGGGGCCTGATTGCTCAAATGCATCAATAAAGAAGTCACCCGCTAACTCTTGATCAAAATTTACAACTAGTACATCCAAATTGCGTGTATATCCATCTGGGTTACGTCCTTGTCCCAAATATAATGCAGCCATCAGAAATATCAGTATCCATAATTGTATGGAGACAAAAACCCATTGAAAGAGTACTTGTCGACGCACTTTTTTAACATCATCTCGTTTCGACCAGAAATGCTCCGGTTCAATATTCGGTGTTGGATACGAATAGGGATCATCGGCGACGGTATAGTTGGGATGGAATAGTCGAGCCTGCAACACATTTCGGGAAAACATTTCTATGTTTTCCTATTGTGATTATCGTACTGATAAAGAGATAAGTGTGTATTATTATTACCTTTGTATTGAATGAAGAATAGAGAGAGAAACCGTTAACTAAAGGTATTTTATTATTGTTATTAAAGGGTGAAGTAATCGGTAGCAGAAAATGTGCATTGTTTTCATATGCTACGACACGTGTGCATTACGTAAATGTTTCTCTGGTTGTTCGCTGTTTAGAGAAATTGCTCTTCAAAGACGAGTACTTTGATAATGGGACAAGCATCGTAAAATCGTATTTGGCGACTACTTTGGTCTGTGGGGACGGTACACCCAATCTTGATGGAGCTTTTGCCGAACGTATTGAGTTTTCAGACGACGCTGAGATTATCGTAAGAATAAGTTTTAGTTGTAAATCTCGAATGTATTCAGACCTGATATATTGGGGAGAGGAGATAACAGCCTAATAGTTGACGTTTTCAAGATTTCTCTGGTAGCTCAGTATCCGTGAAGAAAGAAAATGTTAAGAAAGCGAAAAATTTCGTTGTAGCTAAATCTCTGCCTCAAATTTTGTCTTCGAAACAACCCAATTAAAGACCAATAGGCGCACACGACTCAACGGTAGAAAGAAGCTTATTTTCTTGTCGACGATATTATAACAAAAAACGAAACTCTATTAGTCAGTTTATTGTGATTTGTTGCAATCCAAAACTTTTCATCTGTATTTCATCTGTGCTAGACAGAAGCTTTTTGATAAAACTGATAAGATTCTTATTGGAATCTTATCGGTTTCTTAATAATAATAATAATAATAATAAGATTGTTTAAGATTTCCCATCGACAGTCGTAAGTGTCTTATAAGATTTTCGCAAGTAGTTAGTAAGAAATGCATAAGGAGTACCGAAAATTGTTATATTATTCTTATTTACTAGAAGGCAACTTATGAGTTGGTTTTGTTGATTTCTGTTATGATTAAGTTGCTTCTATTGACTGGAAAACTTCATAAAAATATTTGGTATTTATGATTTTCTTACGAACCTCTTACGAAAATCTTATAAGATTTTTATAAAACACTTACGAATGGGGAATGGGAAATCTTAAACAATCTTATGTAAGAAACTGATAAGATTCCGATAAGATTCTTGTAAGACACCGGTAAGATTCTTATAAGAATCGATGACTAGGGTGACTTGTTATAATCTCTATAAATAGGACTATTTCTCCATTCAAGTCCAATGGTTTTGACCGTATCTGTTGCTTTGTCTTCTTTTAGATGCTTTATAAAACTCGAATCCGATCTGTACAGAGCGATCCATCACTGAAACCGCCAACTCAAATACCAAAAACCAAACATTTGTGGTCATGCGATCCGGAGATGGCAAAAATTCGTCGTTCTCTTCTCATATTGTGGATACGTTCATCCATCCCATTATGGGTATTAATTTTACTGATTGCGCTCATCTATTTAGGTGGTGTTGCCAACCCCAATCATTACACACGAAATTTGGACGTACTCATTGTTGATTCTGATCAACAACTGGTTGGACAGTACTTCACTCGTGCGTTTCAACAATCGAATCTAGGAAATCAAACACTGCACTGGATTTACGGACAATCAATGTCGATTGAACAGGTGATACAGGAAGTTCTTCGGGGTAAGGTGTGGGCGGCTGTGTATTTATCTGCTGGAGTAACTGAGCAAGTTAATTATGTAATACATTCAATTTTAAATGCCAAGTCATCCATCGTAAATCCTATAACCTACGATCCAGTGAATACCGTGACAATTGTGTATGAAGAAGGTAGGAATGCGGCTACATACAACGGATGGATTTTACCACCTATTCGCACTGTTCTTCAAACGTTGAGCAATCAAATCTCAGCTTATATTCAATCTGATATAGCACAGTCATCGAATACATTTAATCTCTATACTCAACTGTCGTTAATTCAGTTGGCCGATATCACCACATCACCCATTCAGTATACTCTCATGAATATTCATCCGGCATCTCCCTATGTCAGTCAGCTAGGTACCACACTCGGATATCTATTTCTGTGGCTACTCATGGTGACATTGGTAGGTGCAAACGTCAAAATCACACGACCAATGGCTGGCAAAATTAAAATTATTCACATTGTTATCTTTCGCACGCTCAATATTATTCTCAATAGTCTTGTCATCTCCCTGATCTATTCCCTGTGTGTGTTGTGGTTCGCACGGATACATTCTCACATCCAATTTGTCCGCTTATGGCTATTCAACTGGTTGTGTGCCGCTACATTTTCCATTATCATAGGTTTATTTACAATTAATTTAGGCGCCTTAGCACAGTTTTTTCTCACTGTCTTTTTGATTACCAATCTATCGGCATCCACAAATACTATCGCCATTGAATTACAACCACGATTTTATCGTGTTGGTTATGGACTACCATTGTATCATGCCGTCAATGGGGGACGACATTTACTGGTTGGATCACATTCACATTTTGGTGTTGATATCGCCACATTATTCGCCTATTATTTTGCATGCTTATTCTTCACTCTTCTCTCGGGTATCTATCGAATGAGAAAACAGGAACAAGAAGTGAAAAAAAAGGCGTTGGAAAAGATCTTATCTTCAAAGTCGAAAAGAAATAAAAAGTTTTTCACGTGAAATGTCTTATTTCAAAGCCATTCATTCAAAGTTATTATTTACATTTGAAAATAACATATGTTAACGTTACAAGTATCATAACATAAATCTACCTTGGCTATATTGCTGTTGTCGTTCATGTAAAGCAATATTTTATGAAGGACTGGTTCTAAAGGCATGTTTTCTTTATTTTCCTGTTGACTATACTAGTCTAAGGTGATTTGTAATCGAAGAATTTCCGCTATTTCTCTCGCTTTCAATTCCTATGCCATTAGAAAGTCGCGCAATTTCCTATAGTACAGTTAAACTATTTTACAAGGAAAAATATAAATATCCCGTAGACGAAAATTCATATAAAAAACCGGTCCAAAATACGGATCACACCAGTTCATTTTCAAGCAGGAAAACCGGTCAAAATCGACGGTTTACGACACAATAACCGCTCTCTCGTTTAAAAACCGCTGTTGTCTTTTTTCGTTTTTCTGAATCGCTGCGGGTATAACAGCGGTTCTCGCCGGTTATTTTTGTTAAAAACCGCAGAGATCGGCGTGTGCTCAATTGAATAAAATTGCTCCCCTTTCGATCGAACCGCAGCTAAAGGTGGTTGTTTTTGCTGAAAACTGCGATTCACCGAGGTTAGAAACAACTGCAATCCGCTTATATCGGCGGTTATTTGTCCGAAAGGAAGCGATTTAATCACTCCGTTTTTCGAAATAACCGTAGATGAAGGTGGCTTTTTTTTAATGAAATTTGCGGTTGTCACCGGTTTTAGACTGCAAACAACCTCTTATCAAGGTGGTTATTTTTCCTAATATTGTTGACGAAAAACGCAGTCTACGGCGGTTTATTTGAATGAAAGGAAGGTCTGTCTAGAAATATTTCTCACCAAAAGGTTGGTTAAAGCTAAGGTGAACAAGAGCCCTTCAAACCGGCGAAAACCGCGGTTGAAGCGTTTGTAGTTCTGAGCTTTACGTCCTTCCCTAGTTTGAGAGAAGCCTAGCTCTGAATACTCTCTTAAAAAAAGGGAGCGTTAATTATTTGTTTAGAACCGTTTTGCCTGGTTCACTTCTTTTGTCTTCCTTCACATGGAGTTGTAAAAGTTCAAAATTACACAAGTCAACTCAGCAAAACTTGTGTGCTTATACACTAACTGTTTGCGCAAAACAAAATTGGTGAATGAGTAGTTGCTCATTCAACCGCAGTGAACCGCGGATCGCTCAGAGAAAAACCGCCAGTGATCTCGGTTTGGCCAATAGATGATGCTAATTTGTGAAAAGTGAGACATCAGTCGTCTTTTTCTTTGCAGTAGTGTAAGTATCAATATATAAGGAATTAGTAGTGAGTGATAGAATGTATTACGGATTCGTCTATAGTATATGTAATCAAACCTCGGCGTAATTGTGTAGACACTACCTTTTACGTTTGTGGTCCGTGAAGTGTAGCGATGATCTGTTCGGTCAATACGGTAGACATATAGGGTTTCAGCGGCAAGGTTCCAGTCTGACTCCGCCGTATTAGTACTCAGACTGTTCATAGCAATAGTACCCTCGGATACACACCCATCATGAGATCCTAGCACAGTTTGAAATGACTTGTATACGTACAAGGTTGCCTTACCGTAAATGAATTACTTTTTTATTTGTTTCATGCAAAAAAACTAGCTGTGAAAAAAACCCGCGATTTTAAAAACAAGCTGACCAGAACCGCTCTTCTTTTTTCGAAAACCTCGTTCAACCACAGTTTTGCAAAATAAATTCCTGTAATCAAGAAGCGAACGCGGTATTTTAAATAACCGGAGCAAACCTCTTCTGTTTTATTGACAACCGCCGTCAACCACAGTCACGCCCGCTGAGAATCAGTTGCTAAGGATTATGTGTAGAAGAATTTCAACAACTATTAGCATTAAAATAATCTAGACAAACAGTGAATGAAGAAAATTTACTTCAACTTGAAACAATTCTAACTGAAACTGATACAAAATGTTTAGAAACGGAAAAAATATTTCAAGAAGCAAAACATAAATTCATTTATGGTGCAGATTTTTTCCTTGTTGAATCATACACGAGAGCTCGTCGAATTGATCAAGGATATTTACTTTTTAAATCTTTTAGACCATGCTTTGACTAAGAAATTTTTAAAATACAAGTTACCGGTCAAAAAGTGAAAATTTTAGTAATGCGAAATCGGTATGCGACACTGAATAATACCGATGCGACATCGTTTTTTGAGTGAAAAATCGGCTTCGCCAGGGCACCGATCTTTGGGTATGCGCACCGCCGATGCCAGGCATTTTTTTTGCGATGTCGCATTGAATTATTTTTTGTTGAGTGGCGATGTCAGACAATGCCGATTTTTGTAGCATTGTGTTTTTGAATTCCGTCTAAAGTCCTTTCCCTTCGAAGCTTTGATAAACACATATATCTGAAAATAAATAAGAAGAAAAATAGCAAAAACGATGTAAGACATCATAGATAAAAGAAATCTGAAACAAGCGAAGAGCCTTTTGTAAAAACTCCAACATCTCACTTACTAGTGCTGTAAGCAATGAACAACCTTGTTATCCGAATAAAACTATTTTTTGTTTATTTACAGATTAGCAGACTAACGTATGCAATTTAAAATTTATAGTTTTTTAATGACGGTCGCGGAATTAGCTCGTCGAACTGAGTTCTTTCAGTCAAGGGTTAAGTGAATCGAAGATGAACGTTACTTGTATATCATACAAGAAAATATATATCTGTTCCATATATCTTTATGCAGTGATGGATACTCTTCGACTGACATGAAGGAAAAAAAACGAAGGAGCATGACATCATTCTACACAGACAACAGTCTTAGTAATATGTTATATCTATATATCTAACGCACATTGTAACGTGAGGACACACCATATATGAGGCGAATACGAAAACAAAATAGAAAGAAAAAAAAACAAAAATGTTACTTTTTGGCCTCACGGCATATCGATGCTATATTATTGATCGATGTGCATGAGTGCTATTCTTTGTTTTGTTATTGTTGCATTTTGGGCTTTTAGTATTTAAAATCAAGTTAATTAACAGTACTACATTGAGGCAGCACACATTCAACCTCTTCATGTCTAATAAGGCTTCAGAAAAAAATAACCTTGGCTACGTAAAATGTGCTTATTATAGGATGTAACGCTGTATAGCGCCATCTTTCTCATCGCTTGTTAATGGTAGCGATATACCCGGATAACAGACAATGAAATTGTTTCGTCTAGTTTATTTATTATCTTTTGATTTACAAGGTAACGCTCGTCTCCACTCGCTCGGTGCGTTGACTTTATTAAGTTGGATCTGCGCAAGCGAACGCCCTTTGGTGACTTATAAATCAAACACAATGCTCACGCTTCCCTTCGGTCGGCGCTCGCTGGGGCCTAACTAAGACATCTTCTGGATTTCTTTTCTTTTTTTATGTATAAGGTTCGTAATCTGATATAAATATATAAATCAAAAATCTGTAGAGGTCTAAACATATTTATGAATTTAAAACAATGCTCACACCTCCCTTCGGTCGGCGCTCGCTGGAGACCTGCCTAAGACATCTTCTGGATTTTTTCTGTTTTCATGTGTAAGATTCGGAATCTAGTATGAATATAAAGAGCAAAAATCTCACGAGGTCTAAAACTATTTATGAATTCAAAACAAGCGTCACGCTTCCCTTCTGTCGGCGTTCGCAACCAGTATAGATGAGAAATGCTATGAACTTCTCTGATCCCAACGGAAAACCATCTAACGTAATATAAAGCTAAAAGGTTTTCTGCACACCCTCTGCGGATCCCAAGGAGGTTGGAAGTATTTCTAATCGATTTGTTATAATAGATTATCTATATACTGTCAATTTTATTACCCGTATACCACTTTTTTTGTATTATCACAGTTGACTGCTATCTGGCGAGATCAACCCGCGGCCTACAGAAAACGTTTGCTTAGCTGTTTACCTCTCTGTATCGGTATATATTTCAGATGATCTCTTTGAATATTTTCTCTCTGATGTAAAAAATAGTGTTCTACTTTCGTCCCTCTACTGTGATTCACTTATCCATAGAATATCTGACAGGCACCACGCACACACACACACAGAACTATTTTGTAAGACCCTAGACTAAAGTCAAGGGAACAAGGTAAGGCTCGTCTGTACTTGCTCGGTCCCATGGGCGGTGGAGCAATCTCAGTCTACGGTAGGCTCAAATTTTCAGCCCAACCGACCCCAGAGCGAACTGAAAGGCGTTTTATTTAATTTGTTCATAATAATGAGCGCTATAGGTTTTCGTAATAGATTTGAATTCTGTAGAAGTGTTCTGAGCAGTACTGTTGCAGTACTGCTCTGATAGTAGCTTAGTCATTTTTTGTATCATCAAATGGCTTTCGCACACTCCTCCCACTGATTGTATAACGCATTGGATACGGTTCCGATTTCTAAGCCAAGTGTTCACATGTCCAGTCTGGTTTCACATTACTACAACATGCATAGTGTTTTTGTTAGATAGTGAACCACCATAAAGTGTATTAGAGACGTGAAACAGAGACCCCTTGATGAAAGGTTGTCCTCTAATATTTTAGTAAGTAAGATTATTTGCCGACTCACAACCCACAAGTCTATGGATTACATCACAGGTGAAGCAAAGGCTCAGGACGGAACCCTCTAACTGCATTTATACGAGTCATGAATACACTGGCTTATGTCTTTACAGTGTTTTTCGCATGATTTTCACATAAGAAGTCTGAACTAAAGAAATTACAAGTATTTTTCGACGGAAGTGGACGTAATATGATTTCTTAACTCAGTTTTCAACACTAAATAAGAAAAAGTAATTTCAACGTTCGGGCCAACAATCCAAGTCGAAAAATCTAACCTTTTTGAACATCATCTCTTTTTCGAGTTTTGAGGCCGTTCGAGTTTCACAAAAAGTGGACTGATCTTGTAACAATGCGTCATCTGTCAGAGCCTGAAAATTAAGCAACAACAGAAAATTGATATATTGAATCGAGCCTACC